ATAATAAGTAAATGGAAACATGTTATTTACATGTTAGATTCAAACAGTAAGACTTTTGATATTCATCTATGGAATGCTAGGAACTCCAATCATTGAATCTTTTTGTAATCTGATCATTTAACAACAACACTCCAAACAAAGAACACTGGAATGAAAGTTGTGACAGAGGGGTCCAAAGCTGAGGGGTATGTTTATGACAAATGTACTTCTTTGATGTTGTAAAGTCTTGTTGTTTTCAACTGAAAGATCCCCCAGCAGCTGTTGATTTGTGTTTCAGGTGTTCCTGCTGATGAAGTAAATCAAATGATGATGGAATCTGTGACTGAAGGAGAATCTGTTACTTTATGTAATAAAAATAATAATAATAATAATGTGATCATGTGGTATTTTAATGACATTCACATTGCTACTGCACATCCCAGTAAGATCTGTACAGATGTCTATTGTAAAGATGGTGGTGGGAGATTCAGAGACAGACTGAAGCTGGATCATCAGACTGGATGTCTGACCATCATGAACATCAGCACCACTGACTCTGGAGATAAAACTAATCTGGGGGAAAGATCTCCAAGAGAGCAAATGACATTATGCCCAAACCTCTCCCCTCTCCCCCGGCAGGCTTCTGTAACACGCACTGAGTAGCGCGTGATTCACAATTACTAAGTTACTATGTGACCACAACTTTGGTACAGCGGTAACTACGTGGGATTGCTTGGACCAGAAATCAGAAGACAAGTGTCGACTCACTAGAGCAAAAGGTATGCAAAAGGTGTAAGAGTATTACCTATTTCAAGGGTCAGTCAATTAATAACACAGTTCAAAAGAATAGTCAGTTACTAGAAAAATAGTATATTGTTTTGATTGATTATCCTTTCACTTGGATTACTACCCTTTTGAAATTGCAATTAGATCAAAAATAACCAAAACACAATTACAACAACAAATAAATTGAATAGTAAAACCCCAAAGTAACAAAAGGATATCAAAATTTCAAGGAAAAAAAAAACAAAGTTCAGATTCAGTTTCCAAATTACAAATAAGTTTCTGGAATTAAATTTCAAATACTCAAAATCAGTGTCTCAGTTTCAAAATGAGATTTTTAGATTCAAGATCAAATTCTCAATTTCAAATTTCAGTTTTTAATTCAAAGTCTCAATGTCCAGTTAAGTTTCAGATGCAAAGTCAAAAGTCTCAATGTCCAGTTCAGTTTTAAAAAATAAAAAAATAAAAAATATAGCAATGTTCATCAAAAGTGGAAAATTTCAGTCCACGAAGAAAGGAAAAAAATTGTTTGATCCAGGGAAAATCCAGGCAGCAAAACTTGGAAAAACTCTAAACAAATATAGTTTGGTCCTACCAGATCGACAAATTTCTCTCTTTTTCTCCATTTCCAGGCACGAAATGATGGGATGGCTCACCAGTCCAAACTGGAATACGAATATTCAGCAAGGACAGGATTCAGGATCACAATTCAAGGAGAAATGTATCAGAACAAATAAATAAATTAAGTATTCCTCCAAAGAAATACTGATTAGGCTCTATTTCATCAGCTTCTTGTTGCGTCTCTTTCAGTGCTGTTTCTTGTCGTGTCTTTCTCAAAGCGTGAGCTTTCTCATCCAACACTGTCGTCACTCCTTCTTTTATCCTTCCGGAGCTCCTCCGTGGGACTCGAGACCGGTGAGTGGCGCAGGTGTCGCGCATTAGCATTTACTCCACCGGACTCGCTCCATTCCCACGGCTCTCGGCCCCGCCCCTCTCATCACACTCCGGTTGCAGTGTTATCGTGTAGACAGCGAAACCAGAGTTTTTGGCTTGTGACGTCGGAGCCTGCGCTGTTATCTACGCCTTCTGGAAACTTTTTCAGGCTTCTGATTTGCCAACATGGCTTTACGGTTGAGGTTATATGGCCACCTGTTGGTTTGGCATGCTCTTGACAGTGCTTCATAGCATGCGTTTGCGTTTTCATGTGGACGGAGATTTTTTATTAAATGGAAGAAGGAAAAACTCTGTTTATAAAAAATACCCGTGTACGTGTGGACATGGCCTCACTCTCCACAATGGCAGCACACCACGGCAGACGGGATGAGGAGGAGAAGAATTGTTGAATAAAGTCGTTATTTTTGTTTTCTTTGCGCACAAAAAGTATTCTCGTAAAATTACGGTTGACCCACTGATGTCACATGGACTATTTTACCGATGTCCTTACAATGTTTCTGTGCCTTGATCGTGGTAGGACCCTTGCTGTCTATGGGAGAGTCAGAGAGCTCTCATATTTCATTAAACATATCTTAATTTGTGTTCCGAAGATGAACGAAGGTCTTACGGGTTTGGAACAACATGAGGGTGTGTAATTAATGACAGAATTTTAATTTTTGGTGAACTTTCCCTTTAAGAAATAAAAAATGTATTAATAGTAAAACATTTTCTTTTGTGGGATCGGAGTTGAAACATCCAAATAATTGAAAAGCCGGCCAACCACTTGACAAAACTGCCAATATCATTACAAAACTAATGAGAGTAGAAACATGACCAAAATGAGTGTAAGGTACCACTTGACAGGGCAAAACCTATGGACCAGCTTAAAGGATGCTTCTTTCACTTTGTTTGTGAGAAAGAATTTTTGCTGTAGAGACCAGATTTTTTTATTCCAAACAGAGATTACAGGTGGAACCGAAATCAAATTTTCAAGATATTGTGAAATACACCTATTAGGCGCTTTCTTCAGTTACTCCTTTATGTTGTTGGGTGAATGTGATCAGTGCCTGAGGGTTGGAAAGACTAATGGTTGACAGCATTTATGTATGTGAACTTGTTTATATACAGTAGCTCTACCCACTGTCAACAGCCGCACCCTGTTGTGACTTCAATTTGTGGCCTTTAAGGGTCTTTTTAGGGTTGCTTCAGAGAAGCAGCTTGCTACTTGTTTGTTTACTGCTCTGGACTTTTCATATGGTGTTGTGGCTGTGTACAGATAAACCAGTCTGATACACCTATAGAATTACTTTTGTATTGGCATTAGTGAAAATAAAACTTGAAAATGGATGTTGTCTCGAGGTATTTTAACTGACACTCCATACTTCCCTCGCGAATTACCTTAAGAGTATCCTAAGAGTCTATACTACAACTTTTATACTATTAAAGTCTGAATGGAATTTGTGATCGTCTCTTCTCTATTGTGGCATATATCAGAGTAAAATGGCTTCCTGAGCAAGGAAAAGGACAAAACTTGATTTTTATGGGACTTGATCCCTTAAAAAAAAAAAAGAATTGAAAAGGAATTGTCAATTTTGATTTCATGGTGAACAACATTACCAACATACTGTATGTTGCCAATTCATTGAACAATCATGTTAATAGTTCTAAGATATTTTGTGTTAGCATGTCTAGAAAGTATAGTGCAGCAATTGCCCTCAATATATTGGAGCGACGGACCAGAGTCTATAGGTTAGTAAAGGGCAGTGTTGATATATTTTGGGTTTTACACTTTCTTTGAAAAAAACCCTCTAGTGTAAAATATCACATAAATCACAACTTCATCTCTGATTACAACTATAGTAATTGGTAAAACAACTCAGATGTACATTCAATGGTCAATAAACAGCATGAAGCATGCCTCTGGGAATACTGTCAGTATTGCTACTTAAAAGTTAAGTGTGTGAGTTTAAAATAAGTCAGTTCAGTCCTACCAATGAAAGGTTTCCAAAGAAAATTAAATGTCTCTCCACTTGCTGAGGAGAAATACCTGTTTTGCGTACAATATACAATGAAGTTTAAAGGGGTCATGTGCTATTTTAAAGATCATTATTTTGTGTATTTGGTGTAACAGAATATGTTGACATGCTTTAATGTTCAAAAAACAGATTATTTTTCAAATACTGTACATTATTGTAGGTCCTCTATGCCCCGCCTCTCTCAAATGCTTCGTTTTCAACAAAGTCCCCTCCTTTGACAAGTTATAAAGAATATCTCTTTGGATTTGAGACTTTAGTCTTTGCAACTTTACAGATCTTCTTTATGCACCAAGAGCTTGTAACACTCCAAAGAGAAATGAAAACTTGAAATCGCATCATATGACCCCTTTAAATCTTCTTGTGATTTGCACCATTTCTTTTTTTCCCACTTTCTTCCAGATATGTCAAGTGGACAAATCAACTGCTCCAAGGTCAACATCAATTACTCCCTGTTTTTTTTAAAGAAAGAAAAAAATAAAAGAACGACAATGTTACCTCTTGTCTGATTCAAGTGTTTGAATACAACTCAAATGAAAAATCATTATTCAATTCCAATGACTCCACAAATTAAATTACTTTCACTCACAATAGTGAATATTAAATATTCAATTCAACCTAGTTGAATTCAGGTGTGTTTAATTAGGGTTGGTGCTAAACTCTGCAGGACAGTGGCTCTCCATGACCGAGTTTGGGCACCCCTGGTTTAAATTTACAAAATGAATCAGTATGTCACAGCCTGAATTCATAACCTTAGTTCAACTGAATCAATTTCCCCATTTTCTGTCGGCTCAATCTCAGCATCGGTGAAATTACAACAACAGTTAGCCTATACATTGTTTGAACAAAATTATTGCTAGGGACAATTTAGTAGTCGCTGGATATTGGTAGCTAGCGTCTCTACTAAATTCTACGCCCTTGGAGAAATCTCAATTGTTTTCACTTTATTTTTGTATTTGCTGCAGCAAGTAATCACACACACCTACACAGGACGTGTTGATGTTTTTTTTAGCTGATGTTATTCAAAACCCACCAGATGGCGCCACTCAGTACAATAAATAAAAATGATGCCAGTAGAAAGGTGTAAATATGAGTCAAAACTGTCTCACTGACCTGCAACTGCAGGACAAAACTGCTTAAAATAATCTTTAAAAGGTATTCCGTGTTTAATTGAGTTTGTTTTTATTATTGTTAGGCCTAGATGTTTGAATATGCAATATTCAATATATTTATTTAACCAGGAGTAGACAGTGATAGAGGCAGAACACGGTCAAGGGTGAGACCAATTTTAATAGTTATACATTTCCATGCGATTAGCTAAAAAATAGAACATTTACATGAGTTTCTGATGCTATGATAACCACACAATTAAACTAAAACAGAGCAACAACATTTCAGACATGAAGAGAGAGTAAAAAACAGATGAAATCTTAATGTAAACAAAACAGAGATAGACGGAAAAAACATCCTGGCAGAGATTAGATGTGAACTAAAATGTGTGAGTCGGGGGTCCGTATGAGCTCTAAAATATATTTGATCATTGCTGATTATTTCTGCCAGTATTTCCATAAACAGGCTCCTTTGATTTCTGTAAGGAAACACAAACTCAATCAGGAACCTGCTGGTGAAACAGTTAAAAAAACATTTAAAAAAAAATTATAATATAATAGAATTTTGCTTCAAATTCACTCAGAATGAATATTAACTTGAGTCCAACCTTTATAAGTCCTTATTAAATTTTCTGCAAAACAATTTATTATAATTTATAAGATTTGAACACTTGAATTGATTGTAGCCTATGTATTGTTTAATGATGGCTGACGTTTACTTGATGTTAATATTTTTATCTGTAGGACAGCCTATATTTTCTAGTAGTAACCTTAACAATCAATAATTGTAGGCCTATAAACACCACAAAAATATAAGACTGCAGAGCCAATGTAGCTGGACTAGGTTATAAGCTCCACCCATTACGTCCAGAGAAGGGGTGCTGGACGCCATTTAGCTCTGCAGTGAGCACCACTTGCAAATGATAGTCCTAAAAGTTATTAAAAATGTAACACCGTGTTCTATTTTAGTTGCAGAGTACAACTGCAAATGTGAACGATATTGTAAACGAGCGTGTATCCATATATCGTTTTTCCCGTTCCACTGCGTTACTTTTTCATTGTTTTTCTATTGTTTTTCATTGTTTTTGGTTTTGTTTATGCTCCGCCAAGCGCGCATGTGGTGTTGCCATGTCCACTTATTATAAGCATCTTTGGGAGTCTTATTTTCTTCCAATACTAAGCTGGAGTGTGTACGGCCGATCATTCACATCTGAACATCGCTTAGACACTAAAAACAACTCCTTGGTAAATAAAAAGCGGACGAGCGCACAATTCTCATCTAACGTTAGTCTCCCCGACCACGGCAAACACGGAAGTGTACTGTTTTAACCCGCGACGGAGATAAACTTACTTTCTTCCGGGAAACACGAAGGGTGGTGGAAAACAGAAAGTAATGAGGAAGAAGATGCAATGAATGTTAAAGGTGAGTGAGGCTGACGTAGCCTACTGTGAGTACTTTGAGCAAGTTAAGACAATAAATCACTTTACTGCGTGATAATAAATCTAGCTTTATGCACATTAATTTGAGGAAATACTTTATGCTTAATTGTTTAATATTTACAATATGTTTAATATTTACAGGTGCAAACAGTGTAAATAGCATAAAAGCATGCCTTATATGATCAAGCCTGACACCACATATCTGTTCACTGTCTGTCATATTACACACAAAACTTCAATCATCAAGCTTTAATCAGACTGCAACATCATCTTGCAAGACAGTCATGAATGACCTTACCGTTTTTCGTGGTTTTGGTTTAGGCAGTGTTGAATCATTTTCGTATATCTCGTTGATTATGACTGCATTAACAGTAATCACAGTCATGTTGAAACAACAAAGCTTTCAATCTTATATTGAAATGTACGCCTTAAAAGAGATAACTCTTTCAAAATAGGCATTAATTGCTTGCTTTTCTGACCTCTTTTTCTACGTTTCCAGCAGAAGCAGTACCACATGACTGCAGCTACAATCAACAGAGCTCCAGCAGCAGCAGAAATCAGCACTATGTACGATAAAGGTAGGCCCTGATCTGTAATGGACAAAATGAGCCATTAGTGCGAATGAATCTGTCCATCTGATCTACAACAAACACTATCAAACAACAGCACTGTATAACTGAGAGTAAATCAACGTTGATGTCAGCGCTGCCATACCTGCACATGTGTGACAGAGTTGAGTGATGTCCAGATGTGTGGTTTGGTTGCTGATGGGATTGTTGAGCACACAGCTGTAGCTGTTTTTATCCTGATATTCCACCTCCAGAGGTAGAGAGAGACTGATGCTGAGATCAGACACACTGATGCTGGACAATAAACTGTTTCCTTTGTACCAGGAGAGAGTCACATGACCCACATTCACCACTGAACACACCAATGAACAATTATTCTGTGATGATGATGATGATGATGATGATGAAGAACATTGTGAAGAGTTTCTGCTGATGACAGGAACAGACAGACGAGCTGGAAAACATGAGAGAATAACCAAAAACTTGGGCAAATCTAGTCAACAATCTTATTTTTGGTGTAGTGTGTTCACAGTCAGTGAGTGTTTGTGTCATTTCAAACTATAAAATGATGAAACACTTCAACAGTTATAAGAATATTCTGGTTTCAGTAAAACCAGAAGCTACCAGTTAAACTCAATTGACAGAATTTGTAGCATTGAAGGTCACACTGAAAAAAAAAGATGTTGTGGTGTTGTAAAATATATTAAATTAATCATCATAAATTCTACTTGTAATATTAAAAATCAAGAAGAACAACAATTTTCTAAGTAAAATGTACACATTTAATTCATGTAATTAATGAACTGTGTGAGAAGAGTAACTCTTATTAATATTTACTTGTAATATTTATATGTTTTATAGTCATTGCACATAAATCTAGAAATATTGAGTAAATTTTAATCTAAAAGTTCAGTGCGCTTGAATCCGCGCATGCGTGTTTGGACCTACGCTTTGAATCAGAGGGACGGTTGGGCTTGTCACGGAGGAGATACATGGCTGGATTTTCTCGTGTTTAAGGTAAGTTTGCCTTTCTGTTTGTTTTAGATGATTTGTAATACTTTGGTCCGTGTGCATTTCGATAGTTTGATTCTTGTTTGCTTGTCTCATTATACTGTACACTGACGTTCATATTAATCACATAACCTCATTAAAGTTAACTTGCGTGCGGTCACAGTGAGTGATATTTTAGCGAAAATGTTTTCAATAGTTCAGAGATTCACAAAACTGTTTTTCACGTAAAAACTTGAGCGCAGTTGGAAATTACTGTAACTGCTAGCTAGCTAACATCGTTACTGAATAAAACAATCGCATAGTTTAGCAAAACGCTAGTTTCTGCTCTTTCAAACACTTGACTGACATAATAGAGAGAGTTTAGAGAAATAACTTTGTAGTAAGTTTATCTCATTAATTGTCGTGTTTTGTCGCTATACTAAGCTAACATACCACCTAACCCTAAAGCACCTGTTGCCACCAGCGATTGTGTTTTATAGGACTAATTTTGAAAAGTGTGAATAGAAAGTGTTAGTAAAAGTGTTGTTACGCTTCTTTATGATGGTATTCAACTTATAGTTAATTCCAGTCCAATCTTGTCAGTTATATCTTTTCTTTTGCTCAAACAATCTGTAATTTGTTGGTTAAAAACCAAAGTCTTATGAACACATGTTTCTATTAACAGGAAGGGTTTGGATTCACTACAGAATAAGCCTAAGTTGATGAGCATACAGAAGGAGTGATTGGTCTAATTCTCATATTCAGGCAAGTATAAATCTATGCATAGATTTGCATGATATAACATTATTGTTGTTATTTTTACCTATTCTTCACTGCATAATATAAAATTGTGGTTAAATGTTTTAGATCATTGTTTTAATATCACAAATTGTGACCTAACTCTGACGACGAGCCAATACAGTGGACACTTGAGGTGTGGGGAGGAAGACAGACTGATGGTTTTCATGTTAGATGCAGTTTTGGTTATATCAATACTACCTAGCTCTGTCAGGTTAAAACCTCATCTTGTTCGAAGTATTTTTTTTCTATATTTGATACCTCCTGGGGTCAAAACTGTATGATGCAGCAAATGCAGTTTATGTTGGTAGTGGAGATTTAATTGTATTACAGAACAGCAGACACTTGGAAGTAGCATCCAGTCATACTTTATTTTTTTCTATTTTCAATAGACCAAATATCACCAGTGGAGGTATACATGTTTTGTTGATTAATGCCACTTTTTTATGAGACTTTACTGCACCTTTAAAAACTTGTGTCCAGACTTAGGTCATGTGATGTTTCTATTAACAGGAAGGGTTTGGATTCACTACAGAATAAGCCTAAGTTGATGAGCATACAGAAGGAGTGATTGGTCTAATTCTCATATTCAGGCAAGTATAAATCTATACATAGATTTGCATGATATAACATTATTGTTGTTATTTTTACCTGTTCTTCACTGCATGATATAAAATTGTGGTTAAATGTTTTAGATCATTGTTTTAATATCACAAATTGTGTCTGTTTATTTACAGGGTGACCTAACTCTGACGACGAGCCAATAAAGTGGGCACTTGAGGTGTGGGGAGGAAGACAGACTGATGGTTTTCATGTTAGATGCAGTTTTGGTTATATCAATACTACCTAGCTCTGTCAGGTTAAAACCTCATCCTGTTCTGTTTAAGTATTTTTTTTCTATATTTGATACCTTCTGGGGTCAAAACTGTATGGTCTTTAGAAATGTGGTTTGATCTGTTGGATGGACAGAGCATTTAGTGTATGCATATTTAGTTTGCAGGTGAAGAGTTTATTCCTGTTCTGCTTTTTATAAATCTCACAGTTGATGCCCTCACAAAATATGTCGTAAAAAAGTGTTGAATCCTTCATAAACAGTCAAATCTGAGACACAGAACTAGTTTGACTGTTTTTGTTGGATTCAGTATTTTATTTTACTGTAACTAACAATCTAGACTTACCTATCATGTGTCTTTGATGACATTCACAGACTGACAGCTAAACAAAACACTGAGTAATAATAGAGCAGATGTTTTCCTGGCTGCTATTAGCAATTCATGACAGAAAGGCAATGTTGGTCAGTGCATTCAAATCCAACAGCAGCATTCATAAATAAGTTGAAATAAAAACATAAATGCTTAGAATGACAGTTAATAAATTACTTGATATGCACACAAATGCTTATTCCAAACAGAGCTGGCTGTCATTTCTTCTTCTGAATCAGTTGTGTCATTTTTAAATTAAGTGCTTCCTTTCTATTTGAGGTCATACCTTCCTGTTCTTTGTCTTTACTGCTGCAGTTGGCACGTCAGATACCGGAACAAGTAGGTGAACAATGTTTTTTTGTTTTTTGTTTTTTTTAAATATATAAAAAATGATATAGTTTATTTTTATATATATTTTATCTCTCTCTCTCTCTCTATATATATATATATATATATATTAGCCATGACATTAATAAAGAAAGATGCTAATTGACCCTTTGCAAAGACCTGCCCCACTTCGTTGCTGTTGCTATGTCCAACAAGCCATGACGGTGAAAAATACATCACGGAACAAAGAGGAAACTGGCAGCACACTGACAGACAAGACAGAGCATGTTACTTTAGGTATGAAACAAAGTCTCAGCTTTCAAATTGTGTCATTTTTTTAAAGAAATTTGAACAATAAATACCATTTTGTGGCTCCACTCACTATCACTATTAGGAATCTACATTCCCTCCAGAAGTCTGAGATCTACTAGTGAGCGTACCATCACAGAGAGGCACAAAACCACATTCCAGAACATTGTCGTTCACCGTTCCTGGCTGGTGGAATGATCTTCCCATCCCTATCTGGAATGCTGATTCCCTGACAATTTTCAAGCGACAGCTGAAAACTCATCTCTTTCGTCACCATCTAACTTCATCCTAAAAAAAAACACCTTTGCTTCTCTTTACTTAATCCCCAGTCTAGCTTGTACTAATTTAGAACAATGCCTGAAACTTGGTATTATGAGCACTTCCTGTGTCTATTTACCTCTTTAAGATGAATCGTTTGACGTAGGCTACTCCCCAATTGTAAATTGCTTTGGATAAAAGTGTCTGCTAAATGAATACATCTAAATGTAAATATATTTAATGTGGTGTGAAAGATCGCTGTAACGCCTCAATTGCGGAAAGATGGCAATATACACAATTTTCCAAGTTCAGGTCCACTAACATTAATCTACTGTCTGGTTTGTTTGACAAAAATGGCAGATTCGGCATTATGATTGGTCAGATGGCCTGTCAATCAAACTCCCAGCGAAGTGTCAATTGCAGTCAGAGTGTGCAGTTACAAAATTTACCAGCAGGGGCAAATGGGACAAGACTAGTAACTGATGTTCTTTTTTCCCCTCTGCTCAAGGTTTTTCCTGTTCTTCTACACCTGGGTTGATTGTTAGGCCAGACTCAAGGTCTTTCTCTACTACTGTGTGTGCCAGTGAAAGATTTCTAATGTTTAGGCTACATGATAATGTTATTGTTCTGATTGCAGGTGGAACTGTAATGTGTAATTCCACAAGACTCCCACATTACTAGTTTCCCCCATTTACCTTGTTTTATTTTTTTAAATAACTAAAATAATAAACTACCTTTTAAACTCAACAGTGGTCTTCATTTTTTAGAGTATTAAAATCTAGAGGGGCTTACTGTTTATACTGCGTGTTTAACCCTTGTGCGCTCCTCATTTGGGAGTCAAAAGTGACCGGACACCTGAAATTTAATTTAGTTTTCTTCAGTACAATCAATCTAATATATCTTTGCTCAATAATACTTTTTATTTTGTATTTTGAGAGAATTTTAAGGTAATAATTAATATTATGCAATAATTATCAATTTGTCCCATTGAAAATAGTACAAACAAATTTTTTCTCAAATTTTTTAAAATAATGTTTCAATCAACGCAGTCTCTGATTAAAATAGAGACAAGGCCTTTAAAATCCTTTTTTTTTTTAAGGCAGATTAGCACCTCCTGGTGAGAGCAAAGAAAGAAAAACATGTACAGGTGCATCTTAATAAATTAGAATGTCGTGGAAACGTTCATTTATTTCAGTAATTCAACTCAAATTGTGAAACTCGTGTATTAAATAAATTCAATGCACACAGACTGAAGTAGTTTAAGTCTTTGGTTCTTGTAATTGTGATGATTTAAAAATTATTTGACCAAAATTATTTGGTCAAAAGTGACCGAAGACCGCACAAGTTAAGCCTGTTTCAATTATAGGCCTAATCCAACAAGACATTTGCAAGAACTGTGATGTGATTACTTCAATTCAGTATCCAGTGCTGCGTTAGTGTGTGTATTGCAAGAGATCATAATAAATGGGTTTACAGT